GTCCAAAGTACCAATATGGTACAAAGTATGGTTTCTGTAGTAGTAATTTCCCTTCTGATATGGATAAGTATTCCCCATATTGGTACTTTGGACCCTTTGGGTTACTTCATTGTCAGGGTATGGGGCTTCTTGTAAAAGAAACTGGGAGATTCGGGTTCCAGTCTTCAGGGAATAGGTTTATGATTCTAGGATAGTTAGAGGGGTCAAGGTTATCTGCATCAATTTTGCCTCAACGGAACCCGATCCTGTGATCTACACTCCAGTGGCCTAGCATACTTGCCCGGACTACACGCCAAGTAAGAGCGTACTATGAGATTGGAAGATGAACGCAAAGTTGCTTGGCAAAATATAGCCTTCCGTTCGCGAATGTTATATTGAATGTGCACGTCCCTAAACTCTAAACCCTGAATCTTAAACTCAATCCCAAACCGTGGCAAGAAGACGCGCTTTTTGACTCAACCAACCATTACACAGCAAGGATCCTACAGTAGAACCATCAAGAAATGTCAACAGTATGCTCTCACAAGCCTTATATAGCAATAGTGGTTATACTGGACACCAAAGCGCGATTTTAATTGTTCCAGCTCAGCATCATCAGCTTTGGGAGAACTCTGAGTCATAATCAAAAACGCTAAGCCCTAAATTCTTAACACTTCGCCCGGAACTAAAATGCATCTGGGCCTAGCCTGCGTTCAGGGGGTCACTTTTTCATCCCGGAACATGCACCAAAAGATCATGAAAGCTGAACGTAAATCCGCCATCTAGATCTGAAGGAAAGAAGTACTGAAATCCTCGAAACTCTATGATCCATGCCAGTAATTCCACTCGCCGGAATGTCGGTGTTGTTCTAGGGACCCGTAATATGCTAGGAATCCTACTGTGTTATCATTTGACTAAATTTGAGGACTCTTGCAGAAACATCCATCCTCCTGTTTTCTCTGGCTGACAAGCAACACAAGAACTAGACACAAACCAGAGGTCCAAATGCCCTGAGCCCGAAACCCAAACAAGTTGTCAACACCATCCTTAGCCTTTACGGTATGGTCTGTTCATTGCTTCATTGCTTAGCGCGTTTAGTTTCGCGCTCAAGTTTTATGGTTTAAGGCCTGCGGCTTGGGTTTTAGGGGCTTAAGTGGGGGTGGTATCCAGTATCCTCTATATACACATGTGGATGTGGTACCCTAATAGAAGGGTAGGGCATAAGGCTCTAAGTAGGGAAAGGGCTTTAGGCTTGCGACTTCGGGTAGGGTACGAGCAAAGTAACCCAGATCCGTGCATAAACGCCCTCCCCCTTTGTAGGGATTGTGGTCCTAAAAGTAATGGCCCTTGAAAGCAGAGGGGTTTATTAATCAGCCGTAAGCTCTAAACTTTTCACCCTACGAGGAGGGATTTCTTAATCAGCCCTAAACCAGAAACCCTAACTAAACCCATTAGGTCGCCGGCGCCATGCTCTGAGAGCATTTGGACTCCATCTCGTCAACCTGCGCAGGAAGACGCGGCAGATTCAACACTTCTAGGGAAGGTTTGGGGCGCCTTATGATTTTTCAATGGCTTCGTGGGGATTAAAATCGGGGTTGATGGAAGTAAGAACTAAAAACTTTGTTCAAACCTACCTGCGACTTCAGTGTCTCTTAAGATAGTCTGTTTAGAATCCGTGGTAAGAACCCCAGATTACTCTCATCTGAACATACTCTATTTAGTCGAAGCTGGCAGTACACTTTGTACAAGCCCTTCAAAATTGGGACAAATACTCTCTGAAAAGTACGGCGTCAGGCGTTTGAAAAGTAGCATCTGACGGTAACTTGTCTGCTTTTGAAGCTTTTCGGATTGGGGGATGCTTCAACACGGCAACGGCTATGGTAGGTCCTTGTAATAAGAACCGTCACGCTTTGGAGAACAGAATAGTGGGCCCTTTTCTCAGAAATCACGAAAATGGAAATCTGATTTACAAATCGACTGAACCACATGTTGCTTTCAAGCTGGGGAGGGGGGGGGGCCGGCTTTGGGCTCGCAACGTGACATGTAAGCTTGCCTGTATGGGAACAGAGGGTCAACAAACAACTCACAGAATACTTGGAGGGACAGGGGACTTAGAGAGCAGGTTGGTAATGTGGATAAACGGAGCTTATAGGGGTTATGCGTATACGTACTACGTCTCCCTGACCCTCCAAGTACAAGTCTTGCCAGCGACTCAGCCCACGCTTGTATGGGAGTCCTTCACAATGGGCATGGGGTGCCCCTTACGGACCCTACAGACATGAAAGGGCTATGAATGGGAGATCATGGAGGCTCCCCTACCCTAGGCTGGGGTCTTGTCACTAGGTACAATCAAGACTGATCATTTCACATGGTATTTTTTGGGTTCAGGTACACATACACAAGTAAAAAACTATTCAACCACCCAACCGGAGTGAGCATGACACCACCTGCAGAACCTTCGAGGCAGCATGTGTTGCTACACAGAACCAGGTGGGAAAAAATCAATGCTGTGTTGGTTCATCTGTGCGACACCCCAGTCCGTAGCCAAACGGCCAAGATCCACTAACTAGCCTCCCCTACACTACTGTTGATGCCAAAAATCCTGCATGACCTTCATATGCTATAGTACTATAGTACCATACTTCTCAAGGTAGAAGGTACCCAGGGTCATGGAGGATTTTCAGTTTCCACCGTATTCCTACGGCCCTTCATACTTCTTGAGCTAATGAAAGCTGAATCTCTTAGGGATGGGCAGGGGTTACTTGGAGGGTCAGGGGGAACTTCGTGAATGGGGAAATGATGGGGGTAATTGGAGTTACCGTATGGGTCACAGATATGGGCTATGATTCTACTTGCCAAAACACCCGGCCTCCAAGTTCTCTAAACCCTATAAGCCCTAGAACCTGAACACTAAAGCCTAGACCCTAAACCCTAAACCCGATGCTCTAAGCCCTAAACCCTAACATCTAAGTAGAGAAGCATGTCCATCGGAGCCCACCCCGAGCCTCCACCTCGAAGTAAGCAAGGCCCCTTTCCAGCGAAAGCGGGCCTTCCCAGTAGCTTCAGTAGATTCATTCATATGCGTCGTTCCCAAAATTTGGGTCCCGTTTTGGCACCCCTAAATACTAGGTGCCGTAATATAGCCAATAACTAGAAGTGGCCCATAATTTTGAGAACAACCCCTATAAGCAACCGCAACCCCCCCAGACCGGTTTAGGATTGACACCTTAGGGTTTAGAGTTTGGTTTAGGATTTGCATTTCCGGGTTTAGGCTTAGGTGTAGATTTCTAAGTCTAGGGTTTAGGCCTTGGGGCCCGTTTCAAAATTCGTGAAACCATGAACATCTGTTTTGTACACTTTACTTTCGATGTCTCATGTGCATAGTTAGATAAGAGAAAGTATGTTGGTCCACATTTTGAAAAGTCGCTGCATCCGGGATGTCTGCCCAGGTAACCCAACTTCACCTGTTTGGCTTTTGGAGCCCTTTGAAAAATATCAGCATATAGGGTACTCATGAAACCGGTAAGGGCAATTATTTAAACATCCCAAAAGCCAATCCAGCTCAGGAATTGTTGCCCGAGATTGAAGGGCGAGACCTGCCAGCTAGACATCAATCTGTTTAATCGTGGGATATACAAAAACGTAGCTGCTATTCCCTGTTGGGCTTTGGCATTACACTGGGTTTGAAGCGTAGAACCTGTGCAAACCCGGACCTAAACCGCACATCCGAAATTATGAATTTCATCTTCGTTTTTTGCGTTGTCGGGCCAAACTCCGCGAATACAAAGTATGCAGACGCAACCAAAGATTTGGTCCTGCAACCTTGCACCCCTGTGGCCCGTGGCATTTCAGGGGTGTTCTTGGGGTAAAGCCTCCGGGAAAATGCATAATACTGTTGATGGAGGAAATCTTGCACCACCTTAAGTCCTTAGAGTCTTAGGAATTACAATAGTTTAAGGCCCCTAGAAATTGCAAGATTTCGTCCATCAACAGTAACAAAACGTGAGTCAGCTCCCCACGATTCGAACGTGTGTACGGCCTAGCGGCACCCCTATGTCGCCCGAGCAGAAGAAACTTGACTGCATGAACGCGTGCTACATATTCGCTGCCAACAAAACGCTAGGCCCACATGGGTGTCGGGTGCCTCGAACCCACTGTTGGGGAGACTATGCTATACACAAAGGGAGACCCATCCTTTCTCAATGCCTGTGTGGACGTGAATCGAACGAACCCTCTTACGACTACAATTCACCAGAGAAATGCCTCATAACTCACAAACCCTGTATGCCACCAGGATCCATCAGGGGATCCCAATTTTGGGACATCTTCATGCAAACCATTGATCAAACCCATGGGACAACTCCGCAGATTGTGCCTATGAAGGCCATGCCCTTGGTCAATCCTTGGCAAGTGTAGCGAAGCTTCGGTTACGGCTTCAGGGTAGGCTATAGTAGGTATACACCATATTCTGAGGGGACGACCAGACTGCAGCCTTATCTATGCTATAACCCAGAGGGTCCATGTACCCAATAATTAGGTACTTGGGATTTGGGTAATCGTAAGTATAGTACAGGTTTTGGGTAAGTATATGATTGTTAGATCCTTGGACCCTTAGGGTAAGTTGCAACGGGCTATCCTCCGCATGCGATTCGAATCCTGTGACTGCAATTCATGCCATAGTGCTCCCTCAATGGTCGAATGCGAATAGACATGACGCATAATCTGGGGAATATAGGGAAGATAACATGGGTATCTTTAACTTCTAGAGTCATATACCTTCGGAGAACTACTGAGTGATACTGCAGCGTTTCCGCTGAAGTCCGCTGAAGTCTGGGCCAACGTAGATCGGTTGGAACTTAGACTACTCAATGCAGCCCGAAGAACAACAGAAATACAGATACTAGCAGGCTAAGTGAGTCTCAGCCCATCTCAGCGATGCCTTTGAATGGATGGTGAGTCTCTGATAGTTCTTAGCATATGGCCTTGTGCAAAAAATGGATACTTTGAGGACCTTGGGGCTTGGAGTTGTGTTGCATGATGGTGACAGAAGCAACCCCTTTCTGTAAGGGCCATTTTCAGAAACCCGGCTATTGCTTGTAATTACAGATTGCTGTCTTCTGCCCCTTCATACAGTTGCTGTTCATGTCCTTGTGGCACATCGCTTTTAGGTCTAGGGTGTGGTCTTCAGATTTGCTCGCGAAGGCCACGCGCAGACCAATCCTGTGTTGGGTATATTGTTTCCCACGCGCAGGATATGATGTGTAAGTCTTTGAATAAACATTGGCCATTTTCTGTAATCACGCCAAAACTACCCGCGACATCAAGTACCCCTCAGAGCTATTGGAGACTGCGGTAGCCCCAACCTGAACCACAAAGTATGGTTTAGGGTGTAGGGTTTCAGGCACGGGTCCGCTGGACGAAATAGTGTGCAGACATGCCCTCTCCAAGACCACTCAAACACTACTCCCGCACAAGCCAAGACCAAAGCCCGCCAAGATTTGCATATCCCTCGGATTTGCATCGGGACGGGGTGAAACGATCGAGCATTCTACGATGGCTTTTGCGATAGGGGGCTGCAGGGCCCTCTCACAGTTTCATCCCGCTCCGGTTCATGCGAGCTGCCCGCCAGAACTTGTAAGTGCGTCCTAGCAAGATTCCTTACCAGAAGGCTTCAGAGGAAACATCAGGTTTTCGGATCCCCTATACTAAACCTTAAACCCTCTACCTTAAACCCTAGACCCTGAACCCTAGAGCCTTAACCCTAGACCCTGAACCTAAAACCTTAAACTCTAAACCCAGAACCCTTGACCCTAAACCCTAAACCCTAATATCCTATACCCTAAGCCCTAAACCCTACACCCCAAACTAGCGCGTCGAGGTGCCGGAGCTGCGTCCTGCGCGCGCACCATCCTCCGAGATCTCCTGGCCGGGTGATGCCAAGCAGGGTAACGGCCAAAGGAGCCACTGTCTAAACTCCTAGTACCCCCCCTAATAACCCCTGTAGTAGTTCCCTATATGATCCCCTATATAATGCCTTTAAGGAGTTTAGACTATAGTACATATGTAATGGGTTTAGGGTTTAGGGGGTAGGGTTTAGGGTTTGGGGCTTAGGGTTCATGGTTTAGGGGCTTTGGGTCTAAGGTTTAGGGGTAGGGTTTAGGGTTTAGGGTTTGTAATATGATATGAGTTAATACATTATAGTAACTGGACACCATGTCTGCAGCCAGGAGATCTACAGGGATCTGCGGGGGAACTCCGTAGTGACTGTCCGTTTGGAGGATGCCGCAGAGAAGTCTGGCACACAGCTGAAGGCCAAGCACCTGCATCCGCTGCTCGCTAGAGCAGTCCAATATTACAACGTCCTGTGGCCAGGTGTCGCCAAGCAGGCCCTTACTGACTTCCACAAGCATGCGAAGCAGTGTGCCTAAGTGCATCAGCTGGCCGTGCGTTGGCGGCTGCCAAGGCCAGGGCTTCAGCAACTCCTCCTCCAACACCACGCAGA